TCATTTCATCCCTGTCGCGGGTAAGAAACTTCTGGAATATGTTATTCAGGGTTGAAATGCCTGGCACAGCTGGGTTTGGCATGTGGAACGCGTGGCATAAGAGATACGCGGACTGTACAGGAAGCAAGATGGAAGCAAGTAAACCTATAAATACTGAAATCGGATTTCTACATATTGTCCGATCGGATTTTGATGTGCTTAGTATTTTGGAATTCCTGTATTTTTTAAATGCAAAGTTGATAAAAATATATTCGATGTCCAAAAATATCTAATATCAAAAATGACATTTAAGAACTCGTTGTCAAAGTTTGATATTTATAATTAATAGCGAAATTACAGTGCTTCTGCTAAAAAATAGTAAAATTACAGTACCTCTGTCGTATGCAATAGATTTTAGGAAATCGTATTCCGTCGTAATATTTCTTGTGCCGCTGCCTAAGAGGCGCGTCAAGAAATCCTGATTTTTGTCAGCCATAAATTCGCAAACACGTTTAATTTCATTAGCCTGTAATCAAAGAATTTATGGGGTAAGGGATAATCATCATTAGTAGATCTTCAAGTTAATTTTGCTCACTTACAAAGGAAGCAAAACTCGGGCAGCATCGAATGGCACCCAAAAAGAGAACTTCCAGGACCACTAAGGCACAAAGAAGGCGATGCGTTTTCTCGGCAAGCTATGAAAATAACGCTGCATTTGCCAAAAATAAAAAAAAAATCGCAAATTTTGGCGATTATGGGCGTGTTTTTTGCCCATACATTTTTGAAATGTAGGTTTTGGGAAAAGGTGGACTTTACTTGCCATCCCCATAATCACCAACACTAGATCGCTGCAGCAACTGTCCAGATTATAATGATAATCCTGAGGAAAAAGTTCCAGGCGTAACTCATCCTCCCCACCCCCCTCCTTCCCCCTGACGACTCAAGAACCACATTTAAGAAAGCTAGATTTTGGTGACTTAAAAAACATCACTTTGAAGGGCCAAAATGATGTTTTATGATTCAACAAATTTTTCGGTTTGAACACTTTTCATATTGCGAAAATGTTTGTGAAAAGCGAAAATGTTTGAAAGAAGTCCAAGTGGTAGCAAGTGCCAAAAACACAATCACCGTGTAATGAAATTATTAATTACTTCCTCTTTCGAGTCTGCTTACAAAAAATCTGATGGCGGGTTTGACATCCCGTCATGCGCCAGTATCAATTTACTGTCAGAACGAGCGTACACAG